TTCTCCCATGACTGATCACTCTAAGGAGTGTATCTACCTGATGTGAATGTTCACCCTATATGCCTGTCTGTTGTTTGGCTAGAAGCCATGGGAGTTGGTTCAATTCCAGGCCTGAAGGGTAACTAGCGTCCATAGGCTCAGGAGTCTCACCAGGCTCTATCAGACCAGCAAACTTTTTTTTTTTTTTTTTTTTAATGATTTTGAGTTTTGTTCCACATGTTTCCCCCACTCTATCCAGGATCTCCTGCACTGATCCATTTTGGAGTGGTTGACAGTGGTAGATGGGCACCACCTAGTTCTTCTGGTCTCATGGTCATATAGGCAGAGGTTCGCATGGCCCACTAGACGCTTGGACTACTTGTTTCCATGCATCTTTGGTTTTCTTCATTCTTCTTTATTTTGGATGAGGAGAAACCCATTGTTGCATCTAGATGGCTGCTTACAGGTTTTTAAGACCCCACTCACTACTCACCAAAGTAGAATGTACAATAATGTTTGTGTGTAGTAGGTTATGCCAACTGAGCTTGATGTCGCCTGAGAGACCACAGGTCCAATTACTCACTCCCTCAGGGTGGTTGGCTATGGCTAAGAAGTTATAACTCAGGCAGCGGTGTATGTGAGGTCAAATTTTAACCGTATAATGCTCTGCTATAGGATCAGTTTCTAAGAATAGAGAGTCCAAAAGTGAGAAGTGACTGTAAGCCACTGTATTTTTTATTTACTTGTGTTTTCTCTCAGTAAGTTTTTCTTCCTTTTTTTGTCAGTCTTCATGTCAGGCGCAGGAGAGTCTGTGTCAGCCCACACAACCATACTGTTAAGCAGTGGATGAAGGCACAAGAAGCCAAGAAAAATGCTAAAGGCAACATTTGCCATAAGAAGAATCACCACAGCAAGAGGACCAGTAAAGGGGTACATCAAGGGAAACATGAGTCACGTGGCCATAAAACTCTTTATTAGAGCACTTACAAGTTGATCTACAATGATGGTTCCTGAAGTAAACTTAGCCATGGTTGGTTATAAATTTCCCATTTGTAATGTTCCTTATTGGAAGCTAACGGGGCGAAACAAAATAGTTTTCTTTTAAAGAACAATTACACGGTATACAAACATAACTTTAATAATATATTAAACTGAAAAATGAAATGGAAAGATAAAACTTATTTTCAGAAAATATTTTAAAAGGAGTATATTGATGTAACTTCCCAACTTTTTATTATGAATTTTCCCCAAATCTATAGAGAATTTGAAAGAATAGTACAATGAACACCTGTATACCTTTCATTGAGATTAATCACTGTTAAGAGTTTGCCACATTTACTCTCTCCCTCTGTATTATATATACACAAATATATTAAAAAATTGTATGTATATATATTTGTGTGAACCATTTGAAAATAAGTTACAGACATCACAACACTTTTCCTCTAAACTCTTTCATGTAATAACTTGGCATCTGCCCCAAATTAGGACGTTTTTTCTACATAATTACATTACCAGTTTTACACAAAAAAATGAACAGTAATTCCACCAAATAAATATGTAGTCCATATTGAAATTTCCTCAACTTTTTCCAGAGCATTTTATATAGTTGGTCTTTTTTCATCCCAACCCAGGACCCAATGGACATTTATGCTTTTCACTTAATTGCTGTATCTCTTTAGTATCTTTTAAATTAAAAAAGTCCCTCTTTTTTTTCTCTTTCTTTCCATGGTAAGGACCTTCTTAGAAGAATTTAGGCTGGAATCTGTACCACATTATAGGCTTGTCTGTTTGTTTCTTCATGGTCAAATTCAGGTGTAATGTTTTTGGTAAGAATACTTCCTACATGAATTTTGTTCTTATTGTATCACATTTGGAGGCCAGTGTTCATTTTCCAGAGAAAATTTTAAGCTGAATAGCACTGTAAAATTAGGTTGAGTGGTCAAGTCAGCTCCAATTCGTAATGACCCTGTACACAGCAGAACAAAATGCTGCCTGGGCCTGTGCTATCCTCACAGTCATTGATATGTTGGGTTCTATTGTTGCAGCCACTGTCAGTCCATCTTGTTGAGAGCCTGCCTATTTTTTTCTGACCCTCTACTTTTCCCAGCATGATATCTTTTTCCAGGTACTGGTCCCTCTTGATAATATATCTAAAATACGTGAGACAAAATTTCACCATCCTTACTTCTAAGAAGTGTTCTAACTGTCCTTCTTCCAGGACAAATTTGTTCATTCTTCTGACTGCTCATGCTATATTCAATATTCTTTGCCAAAACCATAATTCAATGCAGCAATTCTTCTTTGGTCCTGCCTACTCATTGTCCAGCTTTCCTATGCATATAAAGTGATTGAAAATACCATGTGTCAAGTGTACCTTTGTCCTCAAGGTGACATATTTGCCTTTTAACACTTGAAGTCTTTTGCAGCAGATTTGTCCAGTGCAATATGTTGTTTGATTTCCTGACTGTTCCTTCCATGGGTGTTGATTATGTATCCAAACCAAAAATCAAACTCACTGCCATCGAATCGTTTCCAACGCATAGCCACCCCTCCTTGGGTTTCCAAGGCAGTATATCTATGGAAGTAGATTACCCAATCTTCCTTCTGAGGAGTGGCTGGGGGGTTTGAACCACCAGCCTTCTGGTTAGCAGTCACATGGCTTAGGCACTGTGCCACCAGAGCTCCCAATTGTGGATCCAAGTAAAATGAAATTCTTAATAACTTCAGTCTTTTCTGCATTTATCATGATGTTGCTTATCAGGCCAGTTGTGAGGACTTTTTTTTATGTTGTGTGTTCTGGTTACCTAGTACTACTCTGACAAGAATACACCACAAACTGGATGGCTTGAAAAAACAGTTTATTCTCTAATAGTTTTTGGGCTTTAAGTCCAAGTTCAAAGTGCCAGGCTGTAGGGGCTTGTGAAAGCCCCTCAACCTTGGGCTTCAGCTCTGCCTTCTGTTCCTGGCCCACTGAAGCTAGAGGATTTTCTTCACTCAGC